AAAATAACAATTATTTTATCGAACGATAAATAAATTGAGTAAATTTTGAATAAGTAAATACATTTAAAAAAAGTTATAGTCAAGATAATTTAAAAAAAGTATAATTTTAATCAATATTTCAATTATTGTCTGAAAATAACCTAAAATCGAAGAAGTGCTACGCTTTGGAATTTCTATTTTCCAGGCTACAGAAAAGTAAGTTTTTCATTAAAACACAACTCACATTAAAAAATATATATTAAAATGTAATATTTCTAAAAATATATTAAAATGTAGTATTTCTAAAAAAATTATCTTTAAAACCTCCATTTTTTTTGAAAACTCAAAAAAGTCTCACACATACACACTTTATTGTAATGTTCTAGAGTTTATTTTATTTCATCATAATGTTATGCAAAAATATTGCATAATAAATCCTAAATTGTCTACGAAGAATATTATAAATATTATAATAAATTATTGTGTTATATTGAATAATATGTTAAATAAAAAATTATAAATATATAAAGATGAAAAATATTTTAAATTAAAAATTACATTTTAGATTCGAAAATATTACTACCATCTTAAATATTATAATATTAATATAAAAAAATAGAAAATAGCATTTTTTCTGATTTGGAATTAAGAAAGATGTTTCATAATGACAAAGTGATGATACACCTTGCATATGTTCTATTGTCGAAAATAATATCGAGAGAAGAGTTGCTATTGTAAATCAGATGATTTAATACAGTATTATAAACTTAATTGTTCTAACTATATTTATTAACTATTGCATACACTCTACCAAGAAGATCCAAGAAAATGACCAAATATGTTGTCCCGTCACCTGAATATTTTTGAAAAGTACTCATAAACACTGTGCTAGAATAACAATCACAAAATCATCTAATGTCATAACAAATTGATAAAAAGCAAAAAACTTAATAGAGAATCAAATAGTTTATCATATATCATAAATCAAGTTTGCTATGTATATTTATTTAAACTTGTTTAGAAAAAAATCGAGTACAGTTTGGAATTAGAATGATTCAAATTTATTTTCAAATTTATCTCTTTTTAATCCCCTTAAATACATAAATTAACATCTAAATAATTATAGACTTAAATAATTATAGACTTTGACTTTCACATATTTAAGTAATGTGAATTTTTAGTATTAAAATATCTCTCTTTTGTAATAAAAAGATGGTGGTAAAAGTAGAAATACACTTTTTAATTATACTCAAGAGTAATATATATATATACAATATACCATCATATTTTTGCAATTTTGTTACTTAGCAGAAGTCATCTTCCTTAAAGTTTCTCGTAATAATAAGAGATTTACGCTTAAATATTCCGGAAAAAGATATTTTTCTCTATATATAATATATATTTTTATATATATATATATATATATATGTATATGTATATATCGCTTGTAGAAATTTATCCCTAGTAACGCGAATTAATCACTTATTTCGAGTACTTAAAATACTGATATACAGTAATTTAAGTACTCGAAATATGTAAGTGATTAAGTACTCGAAATAAATGATAAATTGGCGTTACTAGTAATAAATTTTTATAAGGGATATACAGGGTGTCCGGTAATAGTCACGTCAACCGTGGTGTGCAGATAGAGTACGTTAAACTGAATAGAAGTCTTATACCATTTTGCTAAATTATTGAGTTATTAATTAAAATATCTAAGCGAATGAGTGGAAAGCGTATACCAAACTCGATGGGCATGTCGGATGGCTGTCGCTTAGTATCAAAAGTATCATCTTATTACTTTTCAGCGTTGCTACATTGCTCGCCGCTCGCTGCATGACACCGCTTCTCGATCAAATAATGTTTTTGTTACTAAGCGACTTAAACAAATAAGTCATTCGACATGCCCACCAAGTCCGGCCCACCGCTTTTCACCCGCTCATTTGCTTAGATATTTTAATTAATAACTTAATAATTATTGCAAATTTAGCAAAATGGTATAAGACTTTTCTATTCAGTTTAACGGGCTCTACCTGCCCACGACGGTTGACGTGACTATTACCAGACATCCTGTAGAATTTTTTTATATATTATAATATAATTATGTGTAATGTATTCTAAAAATATTAGTTATTAAAACTTAGAATGCGTAAGATTTACAAATTTTAAGCTTCTATTGATAAAAATTTCTATTTATTTCAAAGATATCTCAAATAAGTGCATCACTACAATTTTTACATCAAGTTCAAAAATTTAAAATCGTTTTTATTATCTACTTCTTCTATTACTATCACATAAAAAAATGTACGTGCTAAAAATAATTTTTATTGTATAAAAGAAAGGGTGAGGTTGAAAGGTCTAATGCAATAAAATAAGGCTAGAATAGCTCATCACTCTTTTACAAAAGAAGAGAGGTGCAAAATATCGTTCTAGTAAAAAAGGACATGAGAATATTCGCAAATATCGACATACGTTGTTTTGAAATGCAATTTGAGTCCATATTCATAATCCATTTTATATTCAAGATCGTCTTATATATGATCTTAAGACTCAGTCAATAAAATAATCGTATGGTAACTTAAAATCATCTGGAATGTAAAAACGGACTATAAATACGAACCTTCGAAAAATAATCAAGCCAACTGTCAAGTATCTATTCAATTCTCTATACAAAAAGCGTGAATCAAGTACAAACTGCAGAGATGTATATCAGTATGCATCCAAGTATCGATTTTTTAAGGACTCGTTACCGACTTCCACCGAATCTTGTCATTCTTGCATGAAATGTATGGAGAAGCTTTAATGGTTGAAAGTGATAAGGAAAAAAGTTTACATAGATAAGTCGTCGTCAAACATATTTTTAATTGGATTTTTATAGTATTATATATAAATAAACATATAAAATATAATATATGTTGCAAAACATAAATTGATAAAAAATATTTTAACAGCAAAATTAATTATATATAAAAATAATTAATTATATTTTAAGAAATTAATTATATTTAATAATTAATTATATTTAAGAAATATACGGGATGTTGCATTTTAAATAACAGTTGATTATTTTAAAATAAAACATTTTTTTCAAAATTGTTCCATAAAAGTATAAAAGTTGCAGGATTTTGACGAGAGACATAATATCGTGACCTAGAATTGTCTCTAGGTGGTAAAAGTATGCAACTAGCAGCTACATATTTTTTCTTAAAAATAACTATGTGTTTCTTCTCTTTCTCAATTGATTTTTCTCATTATTTTATCCATAAAAATATTCAGGTAAAATTATCGAAAAATGAATATTTTATGAAATATAGCTCAAGATTATGTCAAACTAAAGTATACAATATCTCGTAAACTATTCACTTTTTGGCCATCCTACCCTTATAATTTCTTACGCCGAATCTTACAAGAAATTAATTTATACAAAAAATAGCATAGGCGTTTAAGAAAACTGCGTTGACCTTTAAATAACTTTGAAAAACGCCACCCAGGAGCAATTCTAGGTCACGACATTATGTCACCCTCGGAAACCCTATAACCCTTTTATATAGAATTTTCTCAAATACGTTTTATTTTTAAGATAATCGATTATATCTTAAAATGAAACACCCTGTATATTAACACATACCACACCTCTGTTATTAAGTTCATTTTTATTATAATTTATAATACTAATATAATTTATATATCTAATAACTTATTGTTTTGCAAATAATTAAGACCTTTTCAGAGTTAATGGTTTTATCCACCCAAGAAACGCAATAAAATAACGGTGGGAAAAGATCTAGTAACATTTAAGAATAAGAGTATGCAAGACTGCAACCACCTGCGGTCGTTCATGTTACGACAGAAGATGAAAGAGCTAGAGCGGTGGCGAGATAAAAGGAGAAGATGGGAACGCGAAGAGAAAATGAAACGAGCGAGGAGACACACTTATAGGCGAGGTAATAAATGAAAGAACGGAGGAGAGGAAGATGGGAGACGGGGAATAAATGTGAAGATGGCGAAAGGGGAGATACGAAAAGGAGAACTTACACAGGAGAATAGGAGCTAGCGCGAAGGTAAAAGGCGGTGTATAATATCGATTCGGTAACAAATCCATATGATGCTAATGCCTGCTGTTTGTCCTACAACACGAAACCAACGTGCGACGCGAGAAAGCGGCGGAAAATAACAGACTCCCTGACGCTTTATATATAGAGGCTGAGCCACGAACAGACGGCCCGTAGCGCTTAAATATAGATAAAATGCAACGGAGTGTCTTCCACGCATAGGAGAGAAAGATAGAAAAAGCGGAGAAAGACACGTATATGTATATTCGATATATTCAAGAGAGCCTTTTTTTTAGAAGTATCCTTGCTAGAAGTATCCGCGTAGAGAGCTTGGGTTATGTGGAATTGCTTGTTTCCCTTGACCGAGGCACGTATGCAAGAAAGTCTAGACAAGAAGCTTTTTATCGCGTGAAAAAGAGAAGAGAAAAATAAGAAGAAAATAAAGATAAGGGAGAGAATGAAAACGAACGAGCCAAAGGGTGGTAGACCTATGGAGGAGGGAAGAAAGGCGGAAAAAAGATTTCCGCATATGCAGGAAACCATTATGGCCGATCGCGCAACATCATCTGCTAGAAATGTAATTCAACCAAAAATACGGCGGTATTGCGACAGTTTTTCGTGCCAGAGTTTTCCTGCTCTCCCGCATACGGGAAATACGCACACACGCCATCATCGACGAAAGAAAATGCTTCGATCGCAGGCGCCAGCATGGACGGGTCGCGAAGCTCTATATATCTTCTCCTTCGCCTTCGAGGGGGAAGAGGAGTCTTCATTTCGTAAAGATAGGAAGGAAACTGATCAAACGCAACGGAAGCACCTTGCAGCAGTAAAGATACGGAGAAGATGTGGCTATGCAGGCATGTCTGAGTGTAAAAGCGAGCAAGCAACGCCGCGACACGCGGAGAGTATTCCGCATACTCGCTCGCCACGGCGCGGATAAAAATGCAAGAAAGAATTTTCGGTACTCACTTGCCAAGTTCCTCCTTCAAATCGTAGTTGTCACTGAATCGCGTACAAGCCGTTGGCACGGCCATACCGAGGCTATTCACGATTATTTAATCGTATCACCGGACTCAAAAACGTAAACGCAAGAGAGCCACTGCCGGCTGCCACTATACTGCACACACGCGCTAGGGGAAACTTCGCAGGTCAAATTCGATCAATAGAGGGGAACCGCCGCGGCGCTGCTTGAACACCGGGACGGCGGCGGCAGCGGCGGTGGCAGTGGCGGCGGCGGCACAGCAGCGGCGGCGGCGGTGACGACAAGAGATGCGGTGAAGAGACAGTGTAGAATGGAGCGGGCAGAGAAGGACGGGAGGAGAGACAGAGGCGACCTTATCTGCGGCGGCGGTGAACGTGCGCGTTACGACGTAACAGCACCGGCGAATGACGAGTGACAACGACGACGACGCACTAAAGGCCGAATCTCCGTAGTATCGGCGTAGTTATAAAGCGACTGCTCCGTTTCTGTACGAGATCCTACCACGACAATACATCCGTACCGCTCGCTGGCAGATCGTCAACTGATTTGCGTAGTGGTTGTGTAGCCGGAACGATAGGGGAAAAGAGAGAGAGAGAGAGAGAGAGAGAGAGAGAGAGAGAGAGAGAGGGCAGACGAACGAGGTTGGCCAAGATGGTGGACGTACGGATGGACAGACGGATCTTGTCGTTGACTGTGCTTTGTATCTGCGAAGAAGAGTACAGAAGTAGAGTCAACTTGAATAAAGTGATCGCTGGGACTCCACGATGCCTCAGTAATGAAAGTTGAAGAGATGGAATGCGAGCAATGCTAGCGTTTTTTCATGATTTTAGTCCTGAAAATCACCCCCATTTTGCATTACTTTCTCTAAATAAACTCATGTATATTTAGAGATAAGCTCCTTAATGAGTATACTATATGTAACAACCTGTGTTTTCATTTTACCTCTTGTTTCACTAAAGCTTTTGAATATTTAGATCTTTTACTGTCACTAAAAAGCATTTTTATATTAATTTGACTATATTTGAATATAAATAATATTGTGTATATATCTTGAAAATGAACATTTTAATATCCATAGAGAAAAAAAACTTTTTTACATAAGATTGATGACTAAAAATAAAAATTGCATTCAAAAATGCAAATATAATAGGATATGAATAGTTGAGTAAACTGAATAAATTAAATAAATATCAATAAGCGAGCGTAAAAAAATGTTAATTTAAACAAGTTTTTAGTTAACTTTATAATATTTTATATATACAGTGTCTCAGACCACTCGTGCCATCTATTTAAAAACTAGGCAAGTGTTTATTTCGAAATAAATAAAATATCTATTTTATAGGTCGGATACGCTCTCTATCGAATGATATTTTCAACTTCCGGTTTCGGCCAGAAATGGTCGATTAAGACTGGAACTGCTTTTTATAATGGAATATGGTACTTTTTAATTACAGATTCGGATTTTAGGCGAAAAAACATGAAATTTTTATATCAAACACTTTTTCGAAAAATGTCATTTATAATTTTTAAATAACTTTTAAAATGAGTTTTGAAAACATTTTAATATGTTAATGTAAAATAAATCGCGCGCGTTACAAATTTTTATCTCCAAAAATATTGTTTCTAGAAAAAAATGTTTCAAATAATAGTTGCGATATTTCAAGGGGGACATAAGTTTATGTTATAGGAATGTTTGTAAGAGTGATAGTTTTTATAGGTCGTTTCAAGGTCAACTTGACTTTTTTTAATGAAATTACTCTAAGTGTTTTATACAAATAGATTCTTTGTAACATTCTGCATAAAAAATTATAAGGTTAAAATAGCTAAAAATTAAACAGTTTTTGAGATATTTTATATTTTACTCTGACATATTTGATATAAAATGCAAAATATCTTGCAAAATATTTAGTTTTCAATAATTTTACCTAATATTTTTTATGCATAGAATAATTAGACAAATCAATTGGTCTAAAGGAAATGCATAGTTATTTTTAGAAAAAATATACAATTTACAACATGCAACTACATTTTTTTTATTTCTATAACTTTTATTTGAAACATTTTTCTCTAGAAACAATATTTTTAGAGATAAAAATTTATAATGCTTTATTTTGAACACCCGGTATTTTTGTGAACTTATATGAGCCATAAGCTATGAAAGAATTCTGACTTTAAAATACACACAAAGACCCATGAGACCTATATTGTATGCAAAATCAATTGTAAAGATTGCGACACAATATATAAGTCAGATTAAACGCCAATTGATGACAAGAATAACTGAACGCAGAAGACATACAATCTGTTAATTATGATATATTAAAAATAAAATTTGTTCTTAATAAATACACTATCGTAAGTATAATTTTTTAAATTAAATAAACATATAATACTTTGTTTAAAAAAATATTTTATTATATTAAATAAACCAATGTTTATTGCGTATAAAATAAAAATTATTTTTAAAATAAATTATTTTGTATTTAAAAAACAAAAGTATTTAAGACATTTTTTTAAATAACAAACTCTGCACTTACTTATAATAAATCTAAACCTTTGTCTAAAACTTTAATAAAATTTGTATAAAAATTGAAGTTTTTCTTAATTATAAAAATAAAGAAATTTATACAAACATTTATATAAAGCTTTATTTAAAACAGTATTCTTTACAATTGGAACAATTGTATATACAATATTGTAAAACAAACGAATGACAATATTGTAAAACTTAAAATGCAGAATTTTTATTAATAAGTTTTGGAAAGATTTTATTATAAAAAGAAAGTAAAAAAGATTTTTCTCTCAAAATTTTATGTTTAAAAATTTAACAAAAATGTTATATTCTGATAAATAAATAACGAGAAGTAAAATAATGATTTATCTCAAAAAATGTATTATAAATAAAAATATAAAAATTAAAATTAATTATGACCGATAACGTTTACTATCTTTGTAATATTATGTTATTGTTATCTCATTTATGTGAAAAAAGAGATAAAGAGAGAGAGAAAAGGCAACATTATTCTTCTTTACTCTTTTTACATTTCGCACAGCGCTTAATCAAAACACGCAGTTCTATTTATTATAGTAATCGATTAAATAAATACTCGGTACTTTGATCAATTATAATTTTAAAAAATCTGTTTTTTATCTTCGTTAATTAATCAAACTTCCACGCATTTCTAGCGTTTAGTCGACTATTTATGTCTACGTATTACATGTATTTGCGATTTGCAATGAAAACCGACATGTGGAAAAACAAAAGACAATGACGCAAATGCGAATCAACATCGTGCATAGCACTTACATGCGACGTCTTTGTTGTATTTCATCCGTGCACGCTGATAGAACAAGTTAGACTTTCAACGTGCCATTCGCATACTCATATTCTTTCGATATATTATATAACTGCTTATTGTAAATATAGTCTCTATTTATATTATAAATTCTTCAATATATTATAGAAGTATTTATGTATGAGCACGTGCCTTATTGTAAAAACACTTTTCTGTAGATTTTTTCGCAAATGTTCCTCGTTCCATTGATTTGCTGCATCTTTTTATTACATCTCTTATTCCATTCATCCACTTCTACAAATGACTAATGCAATTACAATGATTAAGAGAAACTGAAAAATCTTCTAACATTTCAATAATAAATTTTCATTGTTTCCAATATCAGTTATCATGCTTTTATATTTTATAAAAACGTTATGATTTTTTTTTAAATAATAAGTTAATTATTGTATTATATAAAAGTAGAAATGATGAATGAATTTAATTGGGAGGATGTAAAAGTCTTAGACGAGGAGCCTTTTTTAGGTAAACGTTTGATATCCGAAATGATCCACATAAAACGTCAGAGGAATAGTTTAAATTTACATAGCGACACTGATAAATTAAACGAGAATCTTGATCTGTTAATAGAAAAATTTACCAAAATCTAGCTTTGTGATTTTACATAGCCGGGTTTTTTTGTTAGACTTTTGACATGAGTGCCGATTAGTTTAGTTGTTTTTATTTTTATTTTTATTTTCATATTTTATTTTTATATTTGTTTTTTGCGTATATATGTATCGACTGTGTCGAGGTAGAATACCGCACAGTCGTTAGAGTGATGTGTCACGTGTAGCATCGTCTTCTCTCTGTTTTTGCTGTCGGGGTGAGTGTTCTTCCCGGTTCTTAATTTTTAATTCTTGTGAATTGTTCTACGTTTAATTTATACCATGTTGATTAGTGTTGGTAAGGGAGTCACTGCTCCGCTTCCTTCCTGACGATGGTCACCGTTAGGGAGACACTCCGACGGCCGGACGGTTTGAATAGGGAGGAGAATGATATTTAATTTATTTGCGGATTGTATGTATACGAGTTTTATAATTTTCTGATTGTACCGATTATCTTCTATTTTTGTTTCTTTGTATTTTGCAGCTACTGAAGAAGACCCGAAGTGGGTCGAAACGTTTAGAATTTAATAAATGAGTTTGACTTGAGATCTCATTTTAATTTATTAATTTTGTGCATGTCATCCGCATAGGCTCCGATTGCCGTCGAGATTTTATTTTTATTGTAACACAATAATTCGAGCCGAGATTAATAGTTTTTTTATATTATATAAAAGTAGATTATTATATTTTAACTTAAAATTATTATTAAAAGTAACTTTTTATATAATAGTTTATTGTAATTTGTAGTAAGAAGCATATAGATAAAAATAATAAAATGTTAAATTATTAAATTCACTAATCATTTAATTCACATTAAATTTAATTAGAATTAAAAATTAAAATTAAAATTAAAATTTAATTAAAGCATTCAATTATAAACTTAAATTCCTTTATGAAAGCAAAAATGATGTCACTATTGCCATGCGCCAAAAAACTTTTTAGCACTTCTTCAGTTTCGATTTAATGTAAAGTCTTGTCTATAGACAGTCAATTTCATAAATCGTGATTTCGGTAATTTTTTGTCAGCAATAAATCTGCAATCTGCTTTTTCTTACTCAGATGCTAAATACCGAAACAATATACTAATTAAATGCTCTTTAATTCAAATAAAGTATTACATATATAAAAGGCTAATAAGAGCAAAAGTAATATTACGGTTATAAAAAAAACTAATTTATTACATTTAATCAATATACTGATAGAAACAATAAAGTTTAAATTAATATAAAATTATAAAAATAAACTCGAAAGTTGAAACAAATGAAAAAGCGAACGTTTCGATTAACACATCGTAAGATTAACACTACGATGATTCTCACTAATCCATCACATTAACGGAACTGTGGGAAGCGCTCCTCTTTAGTTTTCTGACTACGAGGTTGGCAGGTGTTAAAATATTAAACATTAATCGCATCCTATAAATTAAAATAATTTTCTCATTTTACCTCACTAATTATAAGATGTATATATTATTTTTATATTTTATTTTTAATAACATTATCTACCGCCAAACTTTTGGAACGCCTTCTTCTCTCTCACCAGTGATTGCATATTCTAGTTTTACAAGATCTTGAGAATAAATCATTACGATTGTTAAAATT